GCACACCGAGATGACCAGGCTGCCGGGAAGGGCCCGGAGCGGCACAGCCGAGCACGGCGCAGCGGCCCCTCCTCTCCGACTGCGGCAGAGCAGGGCGCTCGTGCTGACAACAGGCCAGCCCCGACTGCAACCAAGCTGGAGGTCCCCCAGGCACAGGCTCGGTGGCTTCGCGGCGCTTCCTCCCTTCTGGTTCCCACCACCCCTCCTCCTTGCTAGGCACTTGCCTGTGCATGTCAACAAGCCCCAGGCCTTGGACGTGCTCCGTGCCCGCTCTTTTCACCCCGAGCTCGCTGGGACACAGACTCTCTCCCCCAGCCACCCTGAGCTCTTGCCATCAGCTTCTCTTCTGCTCTCCCACCCACCCATGACCTCACCTTTGCAAGCCCTCCTGCTTTGGCTGCCTCACCGGTCCCTTGAGCATCCCATGCTTGCCAAGCTACTCAGCCCAGATCTGCTCTCAGCTCCTCCTCCGATGACTGTTCCCTTCCCATCCCTCAAGTCAGTACCTGCTCTCTTTTCTCCTCGCCTGTTGTTATATAGCTTCCTTATTAAAATCAAGCTGTCTGCTTCAGAAGTAACATCAACACACTGAAAAGCCTTGTCTCTGACTAATGAACTCCAGGTACTGCAGTAACAAGCCCCATGGAGATATCTGCAAAACATGTAATACAGCAGCTCAGCAAGAAGAATCACCCACTCCCAGAGCTGTGAATCTCATCTCTGAGGCTCCAGCCTGCCCTTGAGGCTGCAGAGTAACTCCTCTCTCCTTTCTTCTGCTGCTAATTCCTGCTCCTACTTCCAGGTCATTAACTCTTCCCCACCAAGCTGCCTCTCCCAGTCTTTCTGGCTAGAAGGAGTAACTCTTTTTCATCCTCCCATCTAACGCTGTTCGATTACATTGTTTCTTTTTTTTTTTTTTCCTCTTCTTAAATAGCTACACAGAAATTCCTCCACTGATATTTTCATCATGTCAGAGGAAAAGGGTGGGGAAGGAGGAAGAAGAGCAAAATACCTTCTTTCCCATTCCCTGCTCTTATGTCCCCTCCGCTGCTCCTGTTTCTTTCCAGGCAAATGATGCCCCTCCAAAAGCAAGAGCTTGGCCAGGTGCTTCTGCCTCTTCCTCTCAGATGGCTTTGCCCTTACCCGGGCAGCCAGGAGAACAAGCAGAAACCAAGAAGGTGCAGGAACCTACCTTTCCTTTCGCCATCACTGCACTGTGCTGGTAAACAAGAGCTAATTCAAACATTTCCACTCCCTTACGGGGACCTCAGACTCCTTTCAAACATATCTGTCCTTCCAGCTCAGCTGCACTAGGAGCTGCTTGCTGCAAAGAGCAAAGCACTGATGCTGAAGACTTTCTGGGTCAACTCCTGTCCCCTTCATCATTCCAACAAAGATCCCTACAGGAGATCTTAGGTCACCTAGACCACTGTCCTTGCTCAGGTCTGTCACCACAGTCACTCTTTGCAGAGCTTTACACCTTCCACACCAGTCAGCTAGCTCTCTTGCAAAACCACTCACAACTTTCTGGCACCAGGATAAATTAGGGCTGTGAGTCCTCCTCTCTTCCTTGGAAGCACAGCACAAGGGAAAGGAGCACAAACTGGGAGAGGACTGCCTAGATGCTCTTCTCCTGCGCAAACACATTAAGCCTCTAAAGAGAGATGAAGAAAAAAGGAATTTCTTTGGCACACATAACTTTCATCCGAGGAAAGGCAGCCAAACAACCACAGGTCTGTGGAGGAATTTACAGGGCAGAAACCCCCCCACAAGGGAATTTACAGGGAACAAAATCCCCACAAAATCCCTCCAACTTCTGACACAAGGCAGGAGTCTCCCTGCCAGCACACAGATCTAATTCCTCCTGGTCACCCCAAGTGAAAGTCAGAATACCTTTCTGTGCTTCCTGAAGAGCAGGAAAATTGCATTCAAACTGGCATACATTTCTTCTTATCATGCAAAGAGTTCTCTTCCATTCTGCAGCAGAGTAGTCCAGGGACAGGAAAGCACTAAGGGAGAACAGACTTCACTGCAACCTCAGCAGGGAAAGGAAGGAGACCTGTGGCAGCTGCAAAGGTGTCTGCTTTCTGCTCTCTGTTCTTATGATCAAAGGAGACCCAACCTTCCATCTTAAAGAAAGGCTGGATTTAGTCTGGGATATGAGGAAGTGGCTGGGTATGTGTTGTGGGAGGGAAGGTTAGACACATCACTTCTAAATTTCTTCTACACCCAGGAACAACCAGGCGTTACGGGCCACGTCAGGTCGACACGGGAAGCTCCCGACCTGCCCTATTCTCCCTTTGCTTCTGCACCTTTTGAGACCAGAAAGGCAGCACCACAGCTGCTGCTGAGCTGCACGGGGCCAGCAGCCTGCTCTGCCGTGACGGCCGTCACCCACGCGTTGTGAGGCTCGAGCTCCCCTTCCTCCTCTCAGGGCCACAAAGTCAGCGGACAGAGCGCGCTAAAGAAACAGCAGGTCAGCCCGAGCCCACGCCGCAACGCGGGAGCGCCCTCGCTTCCTCCGAGCCCGCGGACAGCCCTCCAGCGAGCAGTTTTCACCTGCGCATGCAGAACAAAGCAGGCAGAGGCCAAGACTAAGATGGAGAGCCTACGAAACTCCTGATTGCCCCAAGGCAAACAAACCTGGCTGCTGATTCTTCTGGCTACGCAGCAGGTTAAGCATGAGTGCAGCTTAGAGCTTGAAATGGAGTGGCTATGTGGTACGAGATTACTGGAGACTCCAGAGCACAGGCGTACGGTTTCAAGGAGACCTCTGAGCTCCTTTAGTTTGGCTATGGATGTCCCACTGAACAACAGATTTCTCCTTAGCCTTCATTAGCCATACGCATCTCCTACACCTGGTTCTCCAATTCGGGAGTGCAACATGCTCCAGACAAGACTTGACTGCACAAGCTTCTACTGATGTAAAGTGGCGTAGCTTGTTTGCCAAATCGCAGTATTAAAAAATGCTTCCTTGGACACACATGCAGCACTTTGCTGCAGCCAAGTCTCAGGCTCCACAACCACACCATTTGAATGCCAGACAAGCTCAAGTCTACCAAAGGAGCTCCAGTCTAACCAAATGCTTGCCAGCTTTAACACAGCTTATCATGGTCTCACTCTCTGCTGAGGCAACTCTGATGCAGGCACCTTGGCAGCATTAAAACTGAGATCAGCAGGGTGCCTGTGCAGCTGGGAAGGCAGAACCTGACTTTCTGTGAACAACGGGAAGGCTGTTACAGCACAGCAGAAGTGTTTCATCTCTAATAGTTTATTGCTATTATCTCAGATGCTGTACCAATTACTTCCTAGCCCTACTCCCCAGAAAACACCTCAAAAGCACAAGTTCCATTTTCCTTGCTTCTCATCACTCTTCTTGCTCTGCCAGAGCAGAGACAGAACAGCAGTTTCTTCCGCTTTGCAGGAGCAAGAAAGCTACTCGGGTCCACGAGGCTTCTTTCTTCTTAATAACAGCGGCTCTTGGCCCTCTGTGGCCAACTCTGCCATGCTATGCCCGGCTCCACGAGCAGCACCCGCCTTGAGCGTTGTGCCAAGCCTCACTCCTCCTGCAGGACTACAGGGCACCGGGCTTACGCTGCCTCTTCTGCTGCTGTCGCTGCTTTTGGGCCAGCTAACTTCGCCTTAAATCCGATCTCCGCTACTGCCTTCTCCATGTGAGGTCCCTTATCCAACAGATCACCTTGAAGCACGGGGAGTGAGAGATGTCACCCTTGCGGCAGCGCGCGGGTGCCCAGGAGCATCCGGGATGCAGGGACGGGAGGGGGAAGGTGGGGGGAACATATATACTTACCTCTTCCGAATTCTCTGCCCCGCCATCCTTGCCGCCCCCGGGCTTCGCAGGGCTCTTCTCAG